AGTTTATGCAATACAATGTATTATACATTATTTGTTTTCTGTATAGATTTAATAAACAGTACGTACTTGTTTGACTACGGGAAAAAAAAAAAATAAAAAAATAAAATAAAATCTCAGTTATATGCATCAAACTACTTTATTACAGGTGCATTAAAAATGAAGTAATAATAATAGTTTAAATTATTAGATAGACAATAGTATAAGATAAAGTCATAAATCACTTTTTTAATAAAAAATATTTGTTTAATCTTATTATGACACTTTTTTTATATGTTTCTATCTCCATCCAATCAATTTGTAAGTCATAATGAGCTTCTTGCTTATGTTTGAGCCTTTGTTGCAACTCAAAAATATACTGTAACTATAAAGAAATTACAAACTGATATGAATGGTTAAATAAAAAATATAACATTGTGTTGTGACAAAGGTGGCTCTTATAGGAATAGATTAAATTTAACAGCAAATTCACGTCGCAGACAAACAGCTTCAAAACTTTTAAATTGTCCATTTAAGCTATTTGGAATCAGATATAATGGTATTTAGTTTTTTGAAATTAGAAATTCTGAATACAATCACGAAGTATCAAAAAATATGTCAGGCTATCCAATTATTCACAGATTAAATATTGAACAATAAGAACAAGTTTAACAAATATTTATTGCTGGTTCTCATCCTCGTCAAATTCTATTAACTATTTAGCAAGGTAATCCATTTTCTATGGCTATATCCAGAACAATTTATAATACTTTACAATCTATTTGCCAAAAAAGACTTAATAGTTATACACTGATTCAAGCTCTTTTTAATAAATTGCAAGGATCAGACTTCGAGTTTGAATATCAATATAATCATCAAAATTATATTACATATCTTTTTTCACACACAAAATATTTATTGCATTAACTCGCTTCTATCCTACTATGCTGCTTTTGGATTGCACGTATAAGACAAATAAATATTGGATGTCTTTATTAAACATTGTTGATATAACAAGTTTTAATACAATATTTTTTTTCTGTTTTGCTTTTCTAAAGAATAAAAAAAAAGTAGATTATGAATAGGCCTTAACTTGTGTTTCAAAAATCTTTAATGGATTATCTCATCCTAATGTTATTGTTACTGATCAAGAATTAGTATTAATGAGAGTTATTCGTAAAGTTTTTTCTGATACTTAACATCTTTTATGCATTTGGCATATAAATAAAAACATTTTGGCCAAATGTAAGCATCACTTTATTATGAAAGAACATTAAAATGAATTTATAAAAATATGAAAGGCTATTATACAATCTGCTACTGAACAAGATTTTACAACTTAATAGAGTAAATTTTTAGAATGCTACAAAAACAAATCCGATATTTTATAATATTTTCAAGAAACCTGGATGCCATATAAGAAGCATTTTATTTCTACCTGGACTGATTGTTATTTGCATCTTAATAACAAGGTGACTTCACAGGTAAAAGATATACATATCACTCTTAAAAGATATTTACAATTATCTGCAGGTGATCTTGAGTTAATGCATTGTAAAATTGTATTACAAATAGAATCTCAAGCAAGAAAAATTTATGTGATGATTTCTTCTGAATATATAAGAGTACAACATATATATTAAATTACTTTATTTGAATTTCTTTTATATCATATATCTATTTTTGTTTTGAATAAAATATATATCAAGTGGATTAAAGCATCAAGTGCAACTTCAGATTTACTTTTAAAATCTTATACAAGAATTTTTAAATCTACAATGGAACTGTCATATTTACATATTATTAGTGAGTGTTTAACAGCTAACCAAACATTGCAGTAAATTGATATTTATGAGCACTGGTGGATTTAAGGTTGCCATTTTGAATTTTTAGAAGATTTCATATGTCCTGTTAACAATAATAGTACTGATCTCCATTTTCTTCTGCAGTCTCTTGTATAGCAGTATTAATTCTGATTATCATATCAATAAGCTGCTGCTTATGTCCAGCTGGAAGAGTTGGTACATGCTTCTCCTGTTGTACTAAAAAATCCTATTATTAATAGGTTATGAGGAAAACCAGTTGAAGCAAAAAACTGAAGTTAAAAATCAACACAAAAAGATCTATCTGAATTTGAGTTTGTCGAAAAATGGCCAAGGCAATGTAGTATATGTCATCAAACTGGTCACAATAGTCGAACATGTCCTAATATAGTATAAAAACTAAAATATAACATGTATTTCATAACTTTTATCTCAATACACAAAGTTGTTGCAATATTTAATATACTAATTTGAAAATTTATAACTCAATGTCACGTGGAGAGTGGTGTTAACAAAACATGGGGGTGGCAATAACAACTTCCTTAATTTATTAATGATTATTAAATTTTAACTTTTTAGATATTATTATAAAAACTAAAAAAAAGTACAAAACCTTAATTTTAAAATATTATAAAAAATTTTCTAAATCAAGTTCTAGTCTAATTACTTGTAATTAAAAAAATCATTTATTAATTTTATTTAATTCAATTATAATTTGATTTTGATAAAAAAATTATTATTATTATTTCTTGTTTATAAAAATACTTTGAGTTAATAAAAAACTTTACAATTTTCTTTTCTATTATTTATTTATTTATTTATTGTATTAAGTATTGTATAATATTACAAAAAGAAAATGATTGCTTAGTATATTTTCAAACTTAAAATAATAATAATATTAGATTAATATATAATTATATAATATATTAATGATAATATAATGATTAAATATGATATACTGTATGTATCAGACATAATGGTTTCCATTTCTTAATGAAAAATACTGTATATGCAGTGTTGATATCGTCTCAGATTTAGATCTCTGATATCAGCGAAATTTGACGAAATATTAAGTTTTGTAGTTGTTAGTGGACTCTTCTCACATTGATGCATTATCTTCTCCAGAGAATGCACGATTGAATCTCTTTCTGATAGCATAAATGTCTGATATATCAAAGTTCTTGCAATTTTGAAATGATTTTGATTACAATTTATAAATTATTGAGAAATGACAAAATATAAAGACTGTAATTTTTTGAAATGATTATGATAATTCACGTAGTTGGAAATAAAGTCGTCGTCTTTGATCTACCAAAATGTCTTGTTTAAACTCCACCTCACTACTTTTCATCATTTGCTTGATTCTGTCAATATTTATAATGACAACGCCAACCAATGCTCAAGTACGCCTATCTTCTAGTTCGACTCCCACGAACTCTGCTCACTTAAATTCTCTGTCTACCACCACAACCCGATCTTCTGTAGCTGCAATACCAGCGCAAACTCATCAAGTTCTAAAGCCTACCGCATCCTCTTCCTCTAGACAATCATCCACACCTACAGCAACGCCAAATTATAATTTCCAAGATTTCAATAATTTACCTGGTAATCCCGATCCGAATCAGATCAAAATAATATCTGCCACTACAATCAAACATACAGGCATCAAATCTCCTAAACCTACTGGTATCGTTAATTCTGATCAAAGCGAAACTGGAGCTGGTAATAGTCTAAGAGTCGGCGGTGGTTTTGGTTCCATGTGGAGTATATTAATACTTGAGCTCGGAACTTTGATGATTTCCTTGGCATTTGTCGGATTCGACAATTATAAATAAATTTGAATGTAAATTTCAAGTATTATACAAACAAAAGTGATTTTAATAGTGCAAAAATCATTCAAATATGATTGCTTGCTTTTCTGCAAAAAGTTTCGAGAAGTTCTCACCCGACGAACTATAAATGAAATTTGTTTTCGCTAATTAAGGCACATTAACGTGTAAAATTGGTCAAGGCCAACTTATTTCAGAAACTAAGATGGTATTTACAAATGCACATTACTTGAACTTGAAATATTAATAAATTTAATAATTTAATCAAAGATTATATGTTTGAAATTTTAAAAAATATTTTTTGGATTTTTATATAATAATAATCATTTATATTATATATGAAATAGTTTTTTTTTTTTTTTATAAATAAAAACAATATTAAGAATTTTAACTAAATAAATATTTTGTTTTAATCAAATTTCTTGTGTTATATATTTATTATAAAAATAAAAACTTTTTTTTAAAAAACTTTTTTTTTTAAAGAATTTTCTAATCCAACAGTCATAATCACATCTTTGTAACCCAATTACGTATATAAGTGCATATTTAATAAATTCGGTTAAATCACCAATTACAGTATACGTATATATATTAGTTCACTCGGTTCCTTTTTTTTTATATTCATTTTCTTCTGAACGAAGAATGAAAGTTTAATGCTTACGGACTGTAAGCAACAACGAACGCGATCCTTTTACAATTTTTTTTTTCGCTACACACAGCTTGCTTCTGATCATTTCCAAATAATTCATTTCTTCCTCCATACAGCAAGTAATACAATCTAATATTTACAAAATCTCTTACCATGGATTCACTTGAAGGTGTTGTAATTGAAACGCTCACCCTTATTTTGGAGGGGGAAAAAGAAGTGGAGCAGGTCGACAATCTTTTCAGAGATCTGCCGAGCGATCAAATCGAGAGAACTCAGGAAACCGTACTAGACACACTATGGACTCTTGATGCCGATGTCTCTGATAATGTGAAAGAAAGACTTGTGAAAGTCGTTAAAAGACTTCAAGTAAGTACTGGAAACGAAAAATAATTTATAGATTGTACGAGATTTTAAGGGCAGTTTGTTAAAAAGATTTAATGTTTCATGTCTTTTACGTTTCGTTTTTTGCTCGTTCGTAGCATGCTGTGTTGGTTCCTTTCTTAATTTCCGAATAAAAAATAGAAGAGATTAACGTAATTAATCCATATTATCTAGACGCACAAGTTCATTGACACAAGGTTAATGAAAACGAGGCTTGAAGTACCTTTGTTAGAGGCAACAGAGATAGTCGAGCCACAAGTATGGGGTCGAAAGTGCATCCGCATTAATACTGCAATGACTTATAAACAGCAAAAATACAACCTTTTGCGCGAAGAATCGGAAGGTTATGCAAAACTCATACATGAGCTCACACTCAGTTGTCATCCAGAATATGAAGGAGAAGATGAAATTAGTAGAAATCAAAGGGTGGACACATTGTTAGACACGATAAAGACATTAATAGGTTAGGTGAATAAACATTTTGAAATTATTCACTTTGGACGAATAGAGAAAATTTTTTCTTAACTAGTTGCTTATATGAAATTTGTTTGCAATAGGATATTTCCATTTGGATCCTAACCGCGTTCTGGATATCATACTCGATGAATTTATATTGAATGTGAAACCCCATCACGAATTCTTTTTGAGGTTATTGGAAATATCTCCTTGGAGGCCTCCAGAATTAAAAGATGAAGGCGAAAGAAAACAGATTATTTCTTGTGATTGGACCGCTGATACTGGAAACCTTAATTGCGCCGAACTTCTTGGAACTAAATTTTCGCGTTACGACGGTAATGACATGGGAGATAGTGTACACAATTCCCTATACAGAGCTTCTGCTCTCTTGATCAGTCGTGGACTTGTAAAAATTTCAGATTTATATCCTTACACTATTCTTTACAAGGCAACTGATGATAGCGACATTCGACATCGTTACCGACATGAGAAGGGCTTGGCTCAAGCTCTCCTTGAAATTGGTGATCTTCAACATTCATGTTACCTATTGTTACAACTACCCTCTATTGACGAACATCTTGCTAAGTATCTTTGTAAGATATTTGAGATGGCCATTTTCGATATCTACAATCCCATTGCACCCATAAGTTTAAAGCCACCCGGGCCTGAACCTTATATTGCCACTTGGTACAAGCGTTGGAAAGAAGGGTTCCCTGTCATTAAAAGCTTTGATGAATTGCTGGGGACAACGGGGCGATTGCTCATTGGCCTAATAGGCCCCTGGTTTTCAAAGCATTTAGTATTATTCACGTGGATGTTGAGAATTTGTCGGCGTCACATTCTAAATTCAAGAAACTTGAATAATGGCAAGTCTATTAAAGAAGGATGGTTCGATATATTAAGGTTGGCGATATTGCCATCCGTTTCTATGTCCGGAATCACGGTTGGTGTGGTCAATGATGTATGGGATATTTTAAGTCTTTATCCGTTAGAGAAACGCTTTGGCCTTTATCACGAGTGGAAAAGAATCTATGATGAACACGATGAATTGAAGCTTCGACGAAGAAAAGCCGTAAAGAAGCTTATCAAATTGTCTAATCAAATGACATCGGAAGACTATAAACAAAAAGCTCGTGAAATTGCAATGGTGGCTCATTCTAGACCAACGGTGACTTTTGACTTTTTATTACGAAAGGTTAAAATGAATCCGGACCTGATTGAAGGCATGGTCGAAGTGTGCAAATATCTAGATCGTTTAGACTTCGACATTCTCACGTATATGATTGTTGAGTCTCTGATCGAGGAAACAAGGCCAAAGCTTAAAGAAGATGGAGTTAATCCCAGTGATTGGATGCAACGAATGGCTACTTTTGTTGGGAAAGTTTGCAGTAAATTTGAAAAATTTAACAGCGAAAATATCACCGTCTTACTACAATACGTATTGATCTCATTGAGAAAACGTAGTTTCGAAGACTTGGTAAATATATTTCCGTCAATGACAATTTTTTCTTTCAATCATCCACTAATTCTCATAAATTGTCATCCTTTCGTAGGTTATCATTAGTCAAATTGTTACCAGAATGTCGGGGATTGTGTATACCGAAATTCCTTCAGAGACAGATTTGGTTCTGATGGCTGGTGGCAAACATTTACGTGATACCAAATTATTCAACCGTAGTCTCATTAAAAATTACCGCAAAGGATCCATAAGATTATCCAATGCACTTATATCCAATGGTCTAGCTGTCCAAATTGCAGTATTGCTTGCACAAATGGCTCAAAGTATTCCGTTTGAAACCGAAGTCTCTTCAACACTTGATCTCAAATCAGTTATCGGTCAGGCGGATATTTGCCGCCGAACTTTCATACAATATGTGGATTTTTTGGCTATCACAGCCGACATGGATGAATTTGCGTCGATTGTACCGTCCATCATTGAGCTATGTAACGAATATGCACTAAAATCGGAACACGCATTCATGATCCTTAGACCGGTCCTCAATAATATTTTAAAGAGGTTCCCCGAAAAGCTAAGGGAATACACATCATCCAAGTCTATAGCAAAGAATATGGATAAAGTGGTGTCTGAGACATCTGAATCCTCTAAGCAAAATGGAAGCCCTTCGTTGAATAAGATCGAAAATAGTAACACAACCGCTCCATTTAATGATGATATCGCCAATGGTCCATCAGAGTCATCAAAACAAGTTGCCAATGTGACCTCAAACTCCTCGAGAAAAGCGGGGGAGGAATCCGAGTTATTGAATAATAGTGAGAACATTTCCAAGAGTTCAGGTGACGTATCCATTACCGAGTCTTCAAAAGGTGGCGATGTTAATTCCGTTTCCAAGACGGCCAGTGCAAATGCAGCCTGGCTACCACCATTGCTTAACCTCTTCGATCAGGTCTCGAAGATTTTACCGTCATATGTTTGGAGCGGAATTAGTCCAGCTTTTTATGTCACGTTTTGGCAATTATCCTTATATGATTTAGAATGCCCACGAGCAGAGTATCAGAGGGCGATACAAGAAATTCAAAACCAAATACCAGTGGACATCAATTGTGATCCGAATAAGGATAAAAATAAATATGTTAGATCTGCAAAGAACCTCGAGGAGGAGTTTAATGATCACAGTCAACACATAAAAAAGATTGATGAACGTTTGAAGAATGAGAAAGAGCATTGGTTTTCCGGTCAATTTTCCAATCGCCAGGATATAATTACTCAATTATGGCAATATTGCCTATTTCCTCGTCTTCTCGTTTCTCCAGATAATGCCATTTTCTGTTCCAAATTCATTGAGCGTATGCACAAAATTGGTACCGCCAATTTTTCTACTCTTACTCTTTATGATAGAATATTTGCAGACCAACTGCAGCTCATCACATTCACATGCTCTGAAGCTGAAGCAAGAAACTATGGTATTTTCCTGAGGACCATCTTACAATCTTTAAGCAGTCTTCACAGAGATGAAAGAACCTATAACAAAATTGGGAAGGGAAGAGGAATTCCGGGCTTTCAGATGAAATGGAGTTCTCAAAATCGGCAACCCGCAAGTGTTTCTGAAACTGATCTGTTGGGATATCAGGATTTTAGAAGAGTATTTTATAAATGGCATTCGAAGCTTTATAAGGCTTTTGAACAAGGACTGCAATCGCAAGAATATCTATCATTGCGGAATTCAATTATAGTTATCAGCACGATACATGAGTATTTTCCGGCTATCGATATTTTTGGCAAGAAAATTGAAAACTTGATCAAAGCTGTTATCGCAGAACAATGCACCAAATGGAAGGACATTGAGGTCTTGGCCATAAGTTATTCTGGAAGGCTTCAACTTGATAAGAAAAATTGGGTCGCCCTTGAAGATTTCCGTCATACAGAAAATTCTCAAACGAGCACTAGGCAGAGTGCATCGCATTCTAACGCATCGCAGGCAGGTCATTCATCGTCACCCGCACAAAGAATCACACAGGCTCATGGAGCTAATAGGGCTAGTCCACTTCCTAATGTTCGAAGTGCACATTCCTCTCCATCTCATGCCAACACCACGACCAGAACAGATAGTCCCAGAAGACAAATTCATCCATTGCCTGATAAACCTCAGGATCGTATTCAAAAAGAACGTGACAGAGAGAGGGAAGATGATCATGATAAAATTCGAATAAAAGATAAAAAGGAAGTCCAAAATGATCATGACAAAGAAACCAAAAAAATTGACGATCACAAGGAAATTAAAAAATCCGACCATCATGATCGTGATAGAGGAAGGGATCGCGACCGATCCAAGGCAGAAGTTGCGAGAGTGGATGGTGAGAAAAGAAAGTCAAGTAAAGAAAGGTTACCTATAGATGATCGTGGCAAGAGAGCTGAGTATCATCCTCGCGTGAGAGACCGAGATGTTCGTGACCGTGACGAAAAGGTCAAGGATCGTGAAAAACGTGACGACCGTCGTGATGACCGTCGTGATGAAAAACGTGATAAAGGGAAAGAAAAGGAACGCGAAAGAAGCAGAGATCTTGATCGTGATCGAGAACGGGAACATAATCGGGACAGGGATGATCGCGACCGTCATCGAAACGACAATGGACGTAGCAGACGTCATGATGAAGTGATTCGGAGAACTCGCAAAAATGATCACGATTTGCTTGATCGAGCCGTTCGTGATGATCGAGATATACCATTCAATGCTAGAAATGATCGTGGGGACAAATATATGGGCCTTTCTAAAAAGCGAGACCGCAATGAAAGAGATCATGACGATGAAACTGAAGTGGATCTTATGAGTAAAAAACGTAGTATGAGGAACGATGGTATGGCACCCATTTCTTACCCGTCGAATCCTAAAAAGAGAGAAAGGACCGAACGGGAGCGCGATGATGATCCGGAACCGGGCCCTATTACAAAGAGAGGAAGTGTTGATGGATTAAATGTTCCTCGCACACCGGTTAAACTTAATCGTTCAATGGAACACATTAATGAACTAATGGCGCCGATGCCTAGTGGTGGTTCGTTTGGGGGGAAGAGGAATGAGGGTGATAAACGTGAGCTTAGGAGGCGATATTAGTGGTTTCCGTGAATCAGATAGTCAAAGGAATTTTGAAGTCATCATAGGGTTACATTAGATCCTTAATAGTAAGTTAAAATACTTTGTTGATCCTTATAATGCAAACCGAAGTATTCAAAAAAATTCGCTCACTCTTCAATTACTGTATATAGCATTATTGACGTGTATATATTTTCGTAACCATTTTGTGATCAGCTTGAAATTGTGCGAGTAGATAAACATAATAAAAGCATCTATTTGCATAGTTCAGTATATAGTAACCCTATTTTATAATCGACAATCATTTTCATGTGTTACCTAATGTACCCTCCTAAAAAGTCTCTTTTACTATTTACTGTATATTTTTTAGATTTAAAGAATTATAAGAATTATACTACCAAAAATTTTATTATTAGTTTATTATTTTTCCCAAAATTTATTAAAACGAATTAGAAGAAACTGTTGATATAAATTATTAATCGATTTGCTTTATTTTTTTTTTTTATACTGTATTTAGTAAAACAAAAAAAAACAAAAAAAAATCACCAAGGCTGTGTGAACCAGCCGACCAAATAAAATAAATCAAATAATAAGACTTGAAAAATTCATATCATTAGATAAAAAAAAAATCAGATAAAAAAAAAAAGGAGAATATTACTTACTAATAACATGATTTAAAAATTAATATAGGACCCATTTATCACGCATGACGTGATTTGTTTAATTATTAAAAAAAAAAAATGATAATACTGTATATGAGTATGAGTAAAATGAACTATCCAAAATTATATTTGATATTTCGATTCGGTATATTAGTATATTAAAATTATAGGTTTATTATATTCTGACAACTATTTTTCATCGAGCTGCGCAATATATATATATATATATATATATATTTGATACATTGCATTGTTTCGTGAAATCGAATAAGAAACGTTAATACATTTCTGATGAATGAATGCAAATTCTCATGGTTGTTTGAAAGAAACTCTTTCAAGAATATTTAGATTCATAAATTTGAATTTGGTCAACAATAACAGTAATAACAGTTGCTATGTATCGATACTGTGCAATAAATTATCGGAAGTGATTTAGCGTTTGATAGTTATTATCGGCAACTATCGGTTAATTTGCTTTTTTCGAACAATCACCAATTTGATTGGTTATAAAATTTAAAAATTGAAACTAATTTAAGTCGGGTGAATGGAATGGTGTAACGTTGTGACACCATGCATATCTCTCTATAAAAATCAAAAAATTTTCGAATTGGAATCCTTAAGGATAGTGGTCTTTCAAAGCCCGATCACTTTGCCGGAAGGCCTCACACAAACGACGCAGGACTATTATGCCCAACAAACTTCGCTATTTATAGGAATAGAAACTTTATTTCGACCTTTAAGCAATAATCACATATAATATATATATATTTATTTGTATGGCAAATCGTTTAACTTCTCTTTTAATAGATCATTTGTCTTATAACTCAACTTTTCAACTTAATAAACGAAATGGGGAAGCACGCTACCGCACGTAGTGCGTCAACGCGTGGGGAGGTGATAACAAATCGTGGTGGGAAAAGCGCCACCTTGATACCCAAAGAACAAAATCGTCAGACAATAGAAGGTAGCATAAATAAAAATTCAACTGTTGTGAAGGAAGCTAAGGCGGGGTTAAAGAAAGAAAAATCGGGCGGCAAAAAGTCAACGAGGTCCGGTCCCACCCCCTCTTCTAGTAAAATTACCGAAGTTGATAATAACGAAGATGGACTTACGATGGAGTTCGAACGGGCATTGGAGATAATTGATCAGCCTAAGACGTTCATCTTGGGTGGTGGTCCGAGCAAGCGTTGCTTCGGTGTGACAATGACACGAGCTGTAATGAAAAAATTGATCGGAGCAAAGGAAAAGGGCATAACCATGAAATTAAAGATATCGGAAAGCATTGTAATTATTGTTTATCTTTTTCATTCATCAGTGATGAAAAATGGCACATCATAAAGTTCCCTTTCATTCATACTCAAAGATTGATCTTACCCGTTGTTAGGAAATTAATCTCGGTGGAAAGGATAATATTTTATTTACAAAAAATAAGCCCGACAAAATATCAACGATTTTAGCTTTGAATGGAGATGAAATGGAGATTGTCGGAGATGTCACTCAGCAAGTGATCAGCACTAAAGAGACAAATCACGATGCTAAAATGGAGTGTTTAAAGAGAAATCTACAGCAACGAATGAAAGAGGAGAAAAAGCATAAGGAAAAGAAAAAGTTGGTGTATTTCTATTGAATAGGGGATTATTGAAACGGGTTAGTTCATATAAGATGATTTTGCTTAGTTCTACTTGCTTTTTGCAGGGTTGTAATGCTCACAGAACTTCGACCAGATCCAGAAGTGGTTAAACCAAAGAATAAAACCAATATTCGGAAATCAATAAAAAAAAAGGAACCAGATTCGATTGCCAAGTCGAAAATAGTGACTTATATAGGTCCCGGAAAGCCACCACCGAGGTTTTCCATTGGCAATGATGATCCAGGTGTTCCGCTCAAGAAGAGAGTAATTCATCTTATTGCAGTGGAAGAATTGACTAGTGAGCAAATAGCGAATAAAGTTCAAGATAATGTACCAAATGTTCAAAAAATATTGAGTGAAGTGAGTGAAAAAAACAAAAAAAATTATCATTTACTATTTCAGGGACTTTGACACGTATACCAATTTCAATGCCTTTTTGTTTGTCCGTAGACCGCAACCTTAAAGGGAGAAATCTGGAAGCTCAAAACGGAGACATGGTTGATGCTTGAACCCTATACCTTTCCATCATATGACACATCGAAGATTAACAAGGTAGTCTCCATGATGAACGCCGCTGCCGACAAATTAGGATACCCGTCGGATGCGCCCGAACGGCCACGTCCACCAAAGCCAATAGCGTCCAGTAAACACTCAAACTCAACAATTGAGTCCAGTGAGTCGAGCAAACGACGAAAAACCGGGTCAAATGCATATTCGGAGGTTTCACCAATCTCTAGCGCGTCCAAATCTGCGGCACAACCTTCTTCCACTAGCAGTAAGGGAGGAAAGACGGTTCGCAATGGAGTAAAGGCAAAAGGGAAGGGGTCAAAAGTTAATATTAGCAATTCCGCGTCGGAACCGGTTTCTACCGAGACAATAGATGATTTTCCAGATTCTCCGACCAAAGTTAACACCACGACAACAGCTACTACCCGCGGAGGGCATACAAGTCGGGGAGCAAAATCTGCACGAGCTCGTGGAACCAAGACAACTTCTACGGTTTCAGATCAGCCTTCAACTGCAGGCCGTACAAGTCAGACGACCACTTCTACAAGAGGAAAGAGAGGCAGACCTGTTGGGTCGAAAAATTCCACATCACGCGTGGCTAAAGCGACGACTCAGAAAACCACCACATCATCCGCGGAATCAACGGTCATTTCACGTAATGGACTTCCATCCATAGGAACTAGTAACAATAATATCTCTAAACGAAGTCCATACCATGTTGAAACTCTGAGTGAGTTCAGGGAGTTACTTGGTCGTTTCAACGAAAAATTAAAGGTATATTACGAGATAGATGCACGACTCGATAAGTACGTTACAGTAGCAAATGAAATACAAGCAGACATTCGTAATCTTCGTTCACCAGTGATCAACGAGCGTATTTTAGAAAAGGTTAGAAATGTTTTTGACGAAGGAACCGATGTTTATAGTGAAGTTGAGATGTTTTACAACATAGAGGAAGAATTGAGGATGATGATCGAAGAGGGTAACCGTGCGGCAAAAGAGGGTGTCTATGATGAATGAATGCTTGTCTCCCTTATTGTAATATGATCCAACTAATTACGCGTTTAAGTAGTTGGTACTAAAAGTTTTAACATTTTTGGCACAAATATTTACGGACTTTGCAAAAAATGGACATTACAATATTTTGATATTGTAGAGGGGTTGTTAAAAAACTAAAGACATTTAAAAATGTGTAGCAATATCTTAGATATCAATAATCCGGCTACTTAATTTTCAGACATAAAGCAAAATAAAATTATTGAAATTAGTCATTAAACATTAATTTTTTGCCAAATAGTGAAATCCCGAAAAATCTAATCATATTTCCGAGAATAGATGTTTCTCAAATAAAAACTTGATTTTTCCTAGCATTCGTAAAGTTGATCCTCATGCAACAATTAATGTATAGTGTGATAAAAATACACTTTAGATATCCGATCTATGATCGATTACTAAGACCATTTTGGGAAAAATCACGATCAGAATCAAAAGACAGACTCTTTTACCAGATGCTGTGTCACCTCTTGTGAATTTACGACTGAATCAAGAATTAATAATAATATAATAATAATAATAATAATAATAATAATAATAATAATAATAAAGCGTGTCACCATCAAAACATGAGCAATATTGGTTTCTGAGGGCGTTTCTCGGTTGGCTCTGGCAGAATTTCAATGATGAAAGGGTCAAGAAGATTTTGGTCAATTTCCTACATAAAATTAAAGTTATGCTATTTCTTTCTTCTAGCTGCCTACTGTGCGGAAGGGCAATATATGGCGATATTTTTATCCAAAATTTTAAAGATATCAAAACCCCTTGTAGGAATATTGACGTCCATAGATCCATTCGTTGAGATCGCGAGCTCGGGAAGCTGGAGTGTAATGATTAAGTTGAAAACTGTTAATCAAATATGCATTCTTCAATGAGATAAACGTTCGTTCGTTCGTTCCTTGTTCGAAAAATTAGGTGATCGCCGATAGATCGAAGGCTTATCGTAAAATTATGGTTTCATGTGTTATCCTTGGGACAGTCGCATTTGGAACAATCCCGGTCGTTGGGAAATTCATTGGCTTTCCCGGACTGATTGCTTCATTTTTCGTCTACGCGATTTTCAAAGGAGGAGTCACTCCCTTGGTTGATAACATGACTCTGAGTACGCGTTTCTCGGTGGATCATTTCGGTGGATCATTCTATTGCTTTCTCTGAAAATTTTTATGATCATTCATTAGATATCTTGCATCGTAATGGAGAGCCTAGAGCATATGGTCGTCAGGTGAATATTTATTGTAAAATAAAAAACATCTTTCATATGATCCTCCCTGCAAGCTGTTAATATATTTTTGTAGCGTTTAATGGGGACCATATCCTGCGGAATATCAACTGCTATTCTTGGATTTATAATTGATAAAACGTCTTTCTACATTTTATTTGTCGACGTTGGATTGTTCATGAGCTTGTTTTTAATTGTGATCCTATGCATCAATCCGGGAGATTTTAGAATGGGTCATACGGCGCCTGTTCCTTTGCAACCCGAAGGAGGAAATGTTGAACGAACCGCAGTCGAACAGATACGAGTCGAAGAGGAATCACCAGATGTTCTCGCGACTGATCTTCCTTTCATGAAAGCTTTCAGACGACTTTTTAGTCCCTCTTTCATATTTTTCCTTTTCATTATCTTCCTAATGACAACCATCAAACAAGCTGCCTCCTCTTTTCTCTTCGTGTACTTGTCAGGTACAGTATATGGTTTGTGTACGGTGAGACTCGATTTTCGCTAATGATCTTTCTTTGCTTTAAAAAGAATATTTTCATGCTAGTACAAGATTGATGGGATTGAGCACGTTTACGGGTATAACATTGGAAGTGATCTTTCTTTTTTTCGCGCAGCCAATCATGCTTTTTGTTGGGCCTAAGGCGATGATCGTTTTAGGTGGACTTTGTTCTACACTCCGAGTCGCCCTTTATGGATTTATTGGAACGAAGATGAGCCCGTGGTTATCTCTTCCCATTGAGACGGTAAAGTCAATATTAAAAACTCGAAATCCGATTGAGGTTAGGTCTAATATTCATTGTCCCTACACACACCAAGCTTCAAGGGATTGAATTTGCTCTGATTAAAACTTCTTCGCTGGTAATCGTAAGTCAATTATCGCAACCGCAATTAAGGGCCACTGCAATCGGGTTGTTAACAAGCACCAGAAATTTAGGAATAGGTTTGGGATCAATCGTTGGCGGAGTGTTATATGGAATATTCGGTGCGATTAAAATGTTTCAGTATTTAACATGGATGGGGATTTTAACGGTTGCACTTTATATTGGCGGATCGTTGTTAAAGTATCGATTTTTCGTGCGTTAAAAAATTCTTAAAAAAACTTTTCTTTGCACGAGAAGATTCCCGATACTTGATGGATTGCGAACTAACTAAATTTATTCTCTTGATCTTACAAAATTCCACTTACCAAGCCCACCAAAAATCGACAAAATTAAAATCGATCTGAGATTCTTGTTATTCGCTTTATTAAGTTGGATTTATTTTTAAGGAAAAAAATTATTATGATTTTTTTGACCAAGCCACTGTTGGAGCCTCTTCATTTGGAATGAGCCTCTCATATTCTCTAAGCCGTCGTCTAAATTCCATGAGTGGCGAAAATTTTTAAAAGTATTAGGGATTCGCTTTTTATTTTTTTTTTTTTGGATAAAGATCTCCAAGACTATGAGTTAAACGCCATGAATACGAAAACATGTTCCTACACCACATTACCAACAGTCATCACGATTTCTTTGTTCTTTATTTTCTGTAAAGCGATCGAATTTCAAGAAACGCAACCCGGTTTACAAATTTATAACCTAAAGACTTACGGAGATGGGACCGTTTTGGTCAACATGATAAATCCAATTAATGGAAACTGTACCCAACCATCGCTTTATTTTAGGTTAATTCATCCCAATGGAACACTCGAATCGATTAATTTAAATGTCACAGCAATCATTCCCGACTTTAATTTTTGTCGGGTTGACGTAAACGGAATATCTAGATATTATATGGACTTTCATCCTTTGATGTCGCAATATATATTTGTCACGTATTTAGATTCCGAGATCTCTAGTTCAGCTAGTGTATATGGAATTTTGATATCGTGGAAGGGAGAGATCATTAGGTTGGTGAATAGATTCTTGTTCACCGGGATATCATTAATTGCTCTGATACTCTACTTTGTCCCAAGTTCATCCATTCACCCATTTATTCCCTCTTCTCTTAATTACACGCATTTCCAGTTCCAATTACCTAAGTGCCGCCTCAGCTACGAACGATAGCAAGGTTTTACCACCTGGTGAAATACATTTTTCCAGAACTACGGGGAGTATCGGTCTTCTGTATACTGCGGCTCAACCCGTTTCCGGAGATATTTGGTGGAGCCTTTACAGCATGCCGTACGTCTACGTTCATTCGCAAATGAGTTAAATAATTGATCGATGTCTTCTCTAACAAGAACTTTTCGGTAAAGTACCACAACTAATGATCGACGCATGACTCTCCAACGAAGTGGGGTCGCACAGAATAACGGGGGAAATAAGGTCAAATACGTCGCATTTCCGACAGCTTCGGGAGAATACTGTTTGGTAGTGGCACGTTCTTTTAATCTGATCAAATCGTCTAATGACTCAGAAGTACTTTCGGTGGACTTGACGTTGGAAGAACACTTGAAAATTTATGCCAACTTCATATCTTCCTTGGAAATTGGGAATATCGTACCAATCTTGTTGTACTCGAGTCCTGTTCAAAATTTGGATTTTTTCGAAATAAATTGCGATACCGAATACAGCGGCCTTGGTAACATGTGTCAATTTTACTTTGTTCAAAATGCCTTAAACATATACGATTATTCCTTGAAAATTACGTTTCTCTCCACCGGGTAAAGAAGTTCCTTTCAAGATACGTTTCACATCTCCTTTTACCCTCATGCTTACAGATCATTCGAAACAATATAGGGCCGTGGATACTCTGGTGACAAACAAACTGGACTTTAACGTTACAGTAACTGATTATCTATCCGTCTATGATTTATTTTATCAAGGGCAAGTTTTCTTTCTTTTCTTTTTTTATTCTTAATTTCTCCCAAGGGGCAATCGATTTTCACTCGAAATTTTACTGTCTTAGATATCTGGCGACCGTCCACAGACCTCAGACGGTAGGACAAAGTGTATATGGATACATCCTAAATGCGACAGGAAATCTCGTGGACATGTGGTGGGTAAAAAAAACCCTTTAAGAATTACCTAACAAAAATGATTTATTCAGAAGATTAAAAATTTCAAACTGTTTAAGGCCATTGCCCCAACCATTTCAAGTGAATTCTACAGGTGATTTATATGGCATACAGCCAAATAATTCAATTGTGTACGCACAACAACTTGACACGTCAAGTTGGTCCCTGGAATCAGCAAGAATACCAAATATTTCGATGTCTGATGGTACCTCCATTTACTTTCTCCCTGATTTCGTGAGAGGGTGTAAAAAGTAATGTGTATAAATAAAAATGTTTTCAAGACAACGGCTACTTTAATCCGCAGATCGTCTCGACATACCCGCCGATCGGTGGTTTAATTCCATTAAGGCTCAATTCAATCAACATCACATACAAGCAGCCGGTCACCTTCTCTACAGGAAACATCAAGGTGTTTCAATTGAGTGGCGCGTACGGTGAAAGCCTTCTTCGTCAAGCTTATTCGGCTTCTTCAGGATACTGCAATCAAACCACCGATTTTTTGACAATCACGTGCCAAGTATTGGGTAGCACGTTTAACCAACCGGATGCCACCTACTATGTGGTGGTCGAGTCTGATTTTGTTCGTATTAATTCTACCTCAGAGCCGTTACTGGGAATTCTTGAAATGGTTTGGAGGTTTACCACAGGTAGGAGGTTTTAAGAATCTTTCATCTAATAATAGATTGTGCGTATTAAAAAACACATGTCTACTTCAATTAGATATAAGCCCAACGGAAGGACTTGATGGTAAGCTCTGATGTAAGTCTCAAATGTTATGTAAAATTAATTGATGTCTGCGACCAGCATGGCTTGATTTTAGTCACCACAAGAAGCGTCGTCCGTCTAAACACTTTGGGAAGTGAAATATTTGAAAATTTGACGAACTCGGAGAAAACGTTGTTTATCGATCAATTAAATTATGAACTTTCCGTAACGGTGCCGGTTAATTCTAGCCGATTGAGCAATCGGTACATTTACCAACGCGATCCGAGAGTGTCAGACATACAAGTGCTCTTACCTCTAACGATAACTAACGCGGCCCCAAATACTACCGAAGAGGGTTCGAAGCTCATTGCGCAAGATATAGATGCACTGATAAAAAGTATGAACATAACCTTAATTTCGAAAAAGAGTTATGCTCACTTCCTGGATTCGAGTTTTGGGGTTTCTCTCGCGCGTGAGCAACTATATATACATGCATATGTTGTAACCTATTCAATTATCTAATAACGTTTAAACCTTCATTAGATGATCTATGGCAGGATTACCGTTATGTGATTATAGCATTCATTGCATCAATACTCCTGTTGACCCTTCTTTTCCTGATTATCCATTTTAGAAATTCATCGGTAAGAATGCAGTTCCTTTCTAAAAATTTAATTGACATTATTAACTTTTCGTCGAATATCACAGGCAGTAGTGGGACCCGTGCTCAAGTTTCTTCTTTCCTTGCTCAACCTTGTCATGAACCTTCTCTTCACGTTATATTACGCACGTGCTGTGAAATCACTCTATCTTCCAAGGTTTGCTCGGGACCATATCTGAAAATCTTCAATTCCGGCTCAAACTTAACTCAACGTCTCTTTCCTTTTTCTCGCGAGATAGTTTAATTATTCTAATAGGAATGATGACTCTGAGAGAGGCATTCGGATTGTTCTTGATCCGTCGTGAAATCGATAGAAATAGTAAACTTCATAATTGGTGGAAGAAACATCGGTTTATAGTATCGTTTTTCACATCCTTGTCATTCGTGGACATCTATTCATTGGAGGTGCTCTCCTCGCAAATAACGAGCTCTCAAAAACTTCATGCACCATTCTCACCGACCATTCGTGGATGGATTTATTGGGTCGAATTCATTGCCTTCTTCACAAACGATGTGACCCTGTTTGTTATTCAGGTGAGTGGGTAGGCATGGTCCATTTGGCGTATTATGCGAAGATACTCCTTAAATTTATTGAACTTTCAAAAATTACAGATAATTTACTACATCTATACGCTACACCTCGACATACTACCATTCCTTTGTTTCATAAGTTCATCAGCCGTAATTATATTCAACATACTTTGGAGAACCAACCATCTTACATTATATTGCCGTAGGAAGAAAGACAATCACGGCGATCCGAGAGAAGTAGGAAGAAGAGATGAACATGATAGCAAAGGCAAAAAACCCTATATCATTTTTGACAATAGTAGCATTAATGAGACTAGCAGCAATGAAAGTCTTGATAATCAAAGAGGCACCTCGAAGGGTCCCGTCGTCGAAAAATCCGCCACAGTTAGTGATCCGCTGTGAACATGTGAAACGAAACTTGAGAACGCGAAGTTGTGTGGAAGTTGTTGGTTTGAAGCTTGAAAACCGACATCTTGGCCTTTATGAAAAATCTGATTATTTATTTTTGGATTCCTATGGAACATTATCACATATACTGTAGTTGTAAATAGGGAATATTGTAAGAAAAATACCGGATAATCAACTTACATTACTTAAAAAGGAAAAGATTGTACATTCTATTTTTTTTAATTAAATTGGTTACCCGATCAAATATCTTAATGACATACTGTATAATTAGTAGTTGAAGCCGAGTCACGTAGTACAACACGTCTTTTTTAGATTTCAAGAAAAAATTCAGTAATAAATATAAAAAGAAAAAAATATTTTTTCAAATACCTATTTTTTGTCAATAACTCTACTATAGTGCATGAGTATAGCAATTGGTTTTTAATAAATAGTTTAAGACAAATTTTAAATTTAGATAATAACTCTTAAAAATATCATATACTGTATATGGTAAATAAAAAAATGATAAAAGAATTTTTTTCAGCAAAAATTTTAATTGTATAATATGTTGGCATTGATATTCCTTGTATATTTGACCACTGATTTGAATTTTTATAAAATTATAAGATTATAAGATTATAAAATCATAAAATTGGTTTGATTTTTTGATTTGTTTTTATTTTTATAACAAATATTTTTAATATATGGATTTATTAAACTTTTTTTTTGTTTCTGTTACATTCAAGATCTTTCCATTAAAAAAATCTATTATTACTTGTCAAAAGTGCAGGTGACATAATAATAATAATAATAATAATAAGCTAAAAAACTATATCATCAATCATATACAGTATACAGTATACTGTATGTATTTACCAAGGAATGATTACTTTTGTAATTATTTGCTTTTTATCATAAACTTTAAAAAGTCAAAACTAGTTTATTTCTTCAAAAAATCAATATAAATTGTTCATACTATTTAAAAAAATAATGCTTTTTTTTTTAATAATTTCAATGTGTTAAAAAATAAACCGGGTCACTTTTCTATAATACTTACCCATAAAATCAAGTAAATGGGAAGTTCCCCCAACCTGTTTATTTCTCTTCGTTCCACTTACCAGCCATATCTCATTTTACCTTCTCCACTTTCATTATAGCTAGCGCATGCATGATTAATGTAATGATACAGGCATATCCTTATTTGGATCGATGCTTACCGAGAATTTCTCTATTTACGAAATTTAATATTATTAGAGATCCTCCATATACAGTAAAATATTTGTTGTCAATCGATCTTATTATGAGACAATCCGAATTTGAATTGATTGATTGATCTTTCCGAGCAAGCAATTCTTTGTAAAAAATCGTCTTGATTTCTTCTTTTGTAAAACAAACCAACGCAAATGAAAGTTCATATCACAATGATGCATTATTACTGTGTATGCACTAATAAACAAATTTTCTTTTGTTTATTTAATAAAAAACATGGCACAATACAAAAACATGAGTCACAAGAAAATTCTTAATTTCGTGCCACCAAATCAGTCTCGTGACTTCAAATTTTAACTTTGGGTATACGAGTTTAAGTGAGTCGGTAGCTTCAGTTTGTCAAATCATTCGATTAAATGCGCTATCCACTACACTATGAATGCGCTTTTCTTTTTATAAGAGCTCCTAGCATAGATTTAGCCAATTTTCTTTTTATGAATCATCCATATTGTAATATTTCCAAATTTGGCCAGAAAATTACGTACGGTATTATGTAAAGTTCTCCTGGGTGGAGTAATTCCGTGGGTACATTTGTGTGTGCACTTACGTAAGTGCACACGAACCTATCACATCGTTTTGTGTTTGATTCGATAGAAACATCCATTGGTGAGGATAATCGGCGGGACGGCGATTACATACGCGCGAAACTAATCCAAAATGTTAATATTGACTTACGTACTGGTACTGGGTAGAAACTTCCATCTTATATAAAAGGTTACGTTAGATGCCTCGAAACCATTAAAATTAATTTTAGAAAATTTACACGTACAACACATTCAAATATTTTTTGAATAAATGATCTAGTTGGGAAATTGGCAACGCACAGACCTCCTGAAATACAAATTTGGTACAATTTTTTTTGGGGAAGCTGATCTACGAAATGAATTGACTAACTTTATGCAGTAGAACAATTATTCATTTTTCTTTTCCGCTAATTGATCAGATTTTTCATCTCATGACTGCCCCGACTTAGTAATCTTAACACACAATGGAAACAGATTCTTTCCAATTACGTGATCCTCGTAATGAAACTATAAATTATAATTGATGTTCATTTGTCTTGAATACTTTTTTTTCCTTTCCTTTCCTTTCCTTTCCACATCCACACTACTGAATCTATTCGGAGTATATTTGTCGCCCTATATCTTTTTCATTCAATGTAAAATGATAACAGATGACGCTCAAGAATTTGATGGGAAAAACCTTTACATCATAACAGGCCTCGGTTTGACATTTAGCGTGTTAAACACCTTAGGAAGCTTATACATATTTTATCGTAAGCTCGATATGTGAACTTCAATGATCCGATTTCAATGCAAAGGATGTTCAAACCAACTTATCCCCATTTTTAGAAACTTTCATGAAATGGTGCAGTAATTCTGATTTCAGTTTACCCATGTCTTTGAGATTTCCATTTTACATCGCGATTACAGGTACTTTTCGAACCATATCAAATTAAATCCACTACTCTTTTGAATAACAACATGTATTTTTTTCATCACCTACAGATTTTGGTATGAGCATGCCGTACATAATCAATATCGTAAGTTCATGCGCGTAAATCTTTAAGATCCTAGTCGGTGTACAGTATATCTAATCAATCTCATTTAACAGGGATACACGGCAATAAATGAAGAAACGTGGCCCATGCCCGAATGCTATTTGTTTGGTGTCACTTTCATGACCTTTCTATTGTTGAACTTATTTCTTATCACTTTCATGGCTGCGACCACTTGGCTCCGAGTTGTAAAAGATGTACACATCAATTTCGGAAGATACGATTATAAATTATGGTCTGTTATGTTGTTTTTAACATTAGTTCTTGATTTATTATGGCGAGATGATATTGGTCCGAGCAGATTCTGGTACGTGTATTTTCTTTCGAGTTTTTGGACCCTTCGATTCGATGCAATGTCATTTCTTGATATTATTTAGGTGTTCCTCGTTGCGAGCAAGCCGCATCGTCCCAGCAATTTTTATATGTTTAATAGTAATAGTATTGTTAATACTGTTATCATCTTACCTAAGTCTCCTTCACACAATCTCCGAAGTCGAGATGGAGGATTTACCGACCGACATGTCATCAGAACGTAACTCGATAGAACATAAAGTTTCTCGAAAGATATTTCAATATGTCCTCATGTTCTTGTTGCAATACATACCGATCTTAATTTACAGTATTTCTAGATTATTAATGGTGCGGTATATCTGTCAGTTCTTTTTTTCTTGAGAGATTATCATCAACTCGATTAACAAAATCCTTTGCTCGTCTCTAGTTCGAGAATTTTGTGTTATATACTTTGATGGTAGTGGGTACGTGAATGCTCCCGTTGATTGATTTTTCCTTCGTTGTTTATTGTTATCACACGAACTTATTTTTTTTTCCAACATCTCAAAAAGCATTCAATGCCGGAGGGATAGGAAATCTTTATCAGTATATAAACCTTGAGGGTTTTTCAAAACCTTCACCAGCACCCGTCATCCCCCTAGACACTATAGCGTTAGGCAAAGATGATGATGAGAATGGGAAGGCAAAACTCTGAAAATTTGCATTTCATCAAAGATGGAATTATTTTTCAGGAAGGAAAATAAAGGAAACAGTAAGATTGTTATGCAAAAAAAAAAAAAAAAATGAATACATAGATATAAATAAGCATATCTATGTTTTATACGCATCTCATTTATATTCCGAATTCTATGCTTTAACATACTAGTTAAATTTTTGCCTATCGCATTTATACCTCTACTATCCTTTACAAAATTCACTACCACGATACCTTGATTATTCAAGGAGGATAATAAGACTTGGATATACTGTACGTACCGTACATCCTTTATTTAAACTCCCCCCCCAAAACAACTGAAATTTATAAACATTATTTCTAGTATAAATTTTTTGTACATTTTATAAAAGTACCATATGTAAAGTACAAATGTATTTTTAAGAAAAATTTATAAATTAATAATGTATTTTTTTAATTAATAAAAAAAAAAAAAAGCTTTTTAAATGACACAGTAAGATAATTCGTTTTCAAGATAGAAATCCTTTGTTTAGAAATTTACTAAACAAATATTTGTTTATTCAATATGAATATTAAGTAAAGTGTAACTTCTATTAGTTATAAGCTTTGTTTATACATTGATATACTGTACATATAAATAATTATTTTTAGAATTACTTAATCTTTAGAGAATATAAAAAGAGATTTTTAATTGTAACAATCTTAACCTATAATTGCATCATAAAACTTATATTATACCTGGCAATCTGAATACTTCAAAAGATATCTGATTCACCCTAATGATCTACAAGTTTGAAATACACTTCCAAAATATATATATAATGTAATTCTAATTCCTAATGATATGTCATGTTGTTAAGATACTACTAATTAATTATTATAAGCTAATGTAATCAAATTAGAAGTATAAGATTATAAAATATATATATTGTTTATATTATTTTTTTTATATTTTTTTTATATTAATTAAGTACATACAGTATGTCTTCAAAGATTAAATATTATATAAATATATTTATTTTTATATTTATTATTTATATATTTTTATATTATATAAAGTTAACATATATAAAAGGATACTCTTTTAATTTTAATAAAGTTTTAACTTTGTTAATGTTAAAACAATAATTACTCAAGTTTACTACCTTTTGAAATCATTAACAATTTTATCAAGATTTTTATATTAATGGATATATATTTAGTTAAATTAAAAGCTTTTTCTTGTACAATCTTTTTTTTAAATCTGTTTTGATTTATAATTATTAAAAAAATCAAAGGTTTTATTTTTATATAACCTAATTGAATAAGAACTGAATTTGAATATTTAAGATCATATATATAAAAAAACCAATAAATCTACATATATATTTCATTAATATATTTGCCATCTGTAAATATTAAATTAATAATATATATTTGAAGATTTGAATGTATTGCCTATTGTATTATTAATTTACAGCTTCTTATTTTTTTTTTTTTTACAAATAAACATTAAATATCAAACTTTTGTTTATTATTATTATATTAATAATTTCTAATATACAAAATAAATTAATTAATTGTAATCTATTGCAAAAAAGATAGCATATGCAAACCTTTAAGAATTTAAATAAGAAAAAAGATATATATAATAACCAGTTACTAATTATATTAGTGATTATATATATATGTTTTATAAATAATGATAATGATAGGATAATGTAATACTTGAATTTTAAATTGTAATTAAACATATATAACTATATGGTTAAGAAGTATATAGTTAAAAGTTGTCAATTTTATTTATATTAATAATTTATATATCAATATAACATAATTAATTTATATTGATTTTCTAATAAGGCAAACTGTTTATAATTTTTTATTTTATGAAATTTTAAAAATTGAATAAAACAAAAGACAGTTTTGCAATTATTCTTCTTGAATAATAAATAAAATAATAGTATTGTTAGGTATTTAAGATAGAATCACTTATGATTATATTTTAAAAATAAAATTTAAAAGATTTTAATAATTTTTAAAATATAATTATTATATTATTTAAACTTATTATTAAAAAATTTCAAACAAATTTACTTTTTATCAAAGTATTTTAAAATATAATATATTTTGCTTTTTATAATTAGAATTTAATAAAAAAACGATTTTGTTTTTTATAATTTTTTTTAAAAACATATGTAAATTATTGAAAGTTTTTATTATTAATAAATACAATATAATTTTGGTTTTTTAAAATTCTTTAAGAATCTATAATTTATTATATCTTTTTTTTTTTTTATCTATAATAATGTCTTAATATAAAAAAATATTTTTATAATTAATTAAATATTAATTTTAAAAATTTCAAGTTAATATTTTTACATTTGAAAGATTAATATCAAAATTATTTATTACTTTTTATTTATTTAAATAAATTAAAATAAGACGAGACTACAAATTTTTTTTTTGCAGTTTCCTTCTATTAAATATAGTAAGCATTTCTAGTAGAAACATTCTTGAATGTTTTGCCTGATAGGCATGTTTTCCTCTACAATATTATTCCAAAAACCAGTCAGTCTCCCCTCCATAAGATCATCACCAGTTCAGTAATCGGGTATAAATTTTTTTTTTTAATAACAATAATATTATAATTAATTTATTAATTATATTCGTAATGATAACTTTATAAACTATTATAAAAAATAAGTAATGTAAATGAGGTTCCTGCGTAAGCACGTTAATGCCGAATTAGGACGAACACTTATTTCCTCGATCTCATTTTTATACGTTGTCAAGTTTTATAGCGATATTAGAATATTTATTAGTTCTTAAATTATTTTTCACAATTTCAGGTAGACGTTATTAACCAAAACTAAGAGTTTAAATTTATAGTAGAAAACTTATATTATTCTTAAAAATTCGCATAATTATGTTTATTTAATTCGTAATATAATAATATTTCGGCATAAGTAAATGTGGCACAGGTGTGAGCGCGGTAAAACGATACGTCATCCTATTGTCGTGAACGTGAACGGCGAGGAAATTTAGGTGGGAATTTCTAGAATAGTATGAATAGCAAAGAGACGTATAAATATATGCGTAATTCGATAGCACGTAAGAGTCAGTTAACATTCGCATTCTAATAATAAATAAACCATTAAAGTTATGATAAACTCTTACATTTTTTCACGTATGCGCTAAATATTTATAACTCGTCTACGCGACTAAGCGAAAGGACCGAACTTTCCTAAGGGAATTAGGCGCTAGAATGGTTAATAGAAAAGTTTAAACCGGCCAAACCCGAAAGTAAAAAAAGCTTTAGATTGTTTACCTTTAATCGTACATAACGCGAAGGACGGCTCCGAATTTGCGACTGATTACTGATTACGTCCACAACGCTATAAAAAAAAATGAGTGTGACAGGGGTTTCGTAATAGAAGCCCCCAGAATACACTAAAGCAAGTATCACAAAAAGAGATGATAGTTTATTCGAGGCTAAGACCCATTGCTCCTATTAAAAAGTTTCGATAATTATTTTTATTAGTTAACCTCGAATAAACTATCACCGTCTCTTTGCTCAACTAACAATAGGCAACAAACTTCTACCACTTGCCCGTGAGGCAGTTGCGCAAGGAAGGTGCATAACCGATCCCTCATGCGAGACCCGTGGACCTTGTTACCTACATCACAGACTAGCCTCGACCGAAACATAACGTAATTAATAAATAACACTTATCTATTTCTGTAAGTTTTTTTTATGGCGGTGCCTTCTTATGGGTTAGGGCCCGGCAGGTTGAACAAGCAGGTATGGTCTTTCATGCCTTTCCTCCCTTGAAATCTTGCCACTCTATTATTTTTACTTTCATTTTTACTTAGCCGGTCGGCCCTTTCTCATGTATACTTTACTAATAAAGATTTTACTTCGAATTTTTTAACGTGTGTGTACTATACGTTTTCAAATATAAATCTTGTGTTCGCTTTATCAATGATGCCCATATCGGACTTGTAATAAAAAAATTAAGAGAGAGCAAAGGTCTATATCTGGAAAATCACTTTTTTACGTAACAATGACCAATCATAATTCGATGACACGTGATTGTCTGATGTGCGCGTATTCCTCAAGTTTTCTCGCTGTACATATAGTGGTATATTATTATTTAGAGGCAGCTGAACAGTACTTCGAGTCAACTCCCGTAAAAGACTGGTCATATCTTGGATATCTCAAAGTTATGCAGCCTTACTTCAACGATTCTAAACT